CCCCAAAACCCCAAAACCCCAAAACCCCAAAACCCCATTAGGAGTAGGAATAATTGGATGTAAATTAACTATCCAAACAATGGTTAATAAGTTATTGTATCTGTCACTCCAAGATGGCTAAATGTCTTCGAACATAGCTTATCCTTCTGCGCATCAGTCTTTATTGACTCATAGTTGACTTTCACTGAGATTAAGCTCACTTTGCTTCCTATATAAAAATATATTAGCCAAGAGATATTCCAGAAGAAATTTCCATCGGATCATTTCCAGTAATTATGTAGATTTTACCTTTCTCTTTATCTGTCTCTGCTTTTCTGATAGCGTCCATGAAAGTGAGTGAGAAGTTCGTGGTAGAGTGGTGCAACAAATCCCAGTAAATAGCATCCCCCTCATCCTCGTATTTAATGTTACGAAGGTTAATTATGAATCCATTTCCTGCTTTCTTAATTGGCTTAATGAGAACATTAGTCAGTCCAACCATCATTTCACTATTATCGTGAATGATAGTGTGAATCTCATCATAATTGAGCCCTTCGAACTTCTTGCTATTCTGCTCGTTCAGCATGACATTCTTCGTGATCACAAGCCCTCTGATGATTTCTCCAAACTTGTTAAGCTGCTTTACAATCCTGAGTATTTCTCCTTCATCGAAGTCTTCCATTTTCACTTTCATGATGCTGACATCGGCAAAATCTTTGAGGACATGTTTTTCTGCTGAGTTCAGGGCGGCTTGGTCATTGTCAATGATGATTAAAGAGTAGCCATGTTCCGCAAGATATGTGCAGAAAGCTCTGCTGCCATGATTCCTGGCTCCATATACAACAACATACACTTTTTGGTTCTTCTTCCTTGGGTTTGGAGTTATAGCTAACCTCTCCTTAGCGTTGCCGATGGTTTTATACAGCCGATACATCGAAAAGAAGGCTCTTTTCGTGATGTATAATGCTGCTGCACTAGCAGCTAGTCATCCTACACCGAATATAGCTGCTGAACCCCATCCAGGCATCTTGGCTAGCTCTGTATCAGTATCATTATACAATACAGATAAGCCTACACTTAAGTTGGAGGGATAGGTAAACTTCAAAGTGTTCAATAGTGTATATTGCTCCATGATTCTTCTTTATTAATAAATATATCTTAAAATAATTAATTTATTTTTAGTTATAAGCCAAAAGGGGTTTTGGGGTTTTGGGGTTTTGGGGAGGGGTTTTGGGGTTTTGGGGTTTTGGGG